CCTTTTGTCAGACCAACTCATGTAGCTGGGAAAAAACAGCTGAGCTTTCAGGTGGGCAAACCTTCCTTCCCTCTGATACAGAAGCACCGAACACCAGCCAAGCACAGGAGATGGGATAGAATCATAGAATCATTTAGGTTGGAAAAGTTCTCTAAGAGCACTGAGTTCCCCATCACAGCCAAGGCCACCGCTGAATCATGTCCTTAAGAGCAGAAGGGTTGCTGGTCACACTGCAGGGTTGATGGCAATCACAATGCTCAAACCAGCTTAGTTTCAGACCATTCCAGCAAGCCAAGCCTGGGCTGGTCCCTACATATTTTGAGGGAGACCATGGGTGGGGATCATTCCCCTTAGATGGTAAGGAGGGAACAGATGAAGCCAGAGGAGAATGATGTGTGAGAGTTATGCCTCTCCTCCGTGGCTTCCCAGAGCAGCAAACTCCAGCCCACATTTGCACACAGGTATTTTTTAAGGAAACAAGTTTCTCCATTATCCCAAGGATCCAGGAAATAAGGAGCTAACAACAGAAAGCAAATTCCAGGAATAAATCTCAGGGCTCATGCTTTGCACAGCCAAGTGGAGCCTATGCAAGAGAAAAACATACTCTTGGACCAGAAGTTTGCTCAGGCTGTGACCATGTTGGTGCCTCTCAGTCTTTCCAGGGGCCCCTGGAAGTCTTGCAGACCTGCTCCAGGCTAATGGGGAAGCCCAAGAGACCCTCCCAGAGAGTAGCATTCACCTATTCATCTTGATAGCATTTGTTGTGACCAGCCAAGGTCCCAAATTCTCTCTTAGATCAAGAGGCCAAGAAGACAGGCCATAAAGGCTACATCTGCACAGCTAAAATCAGCCCACCTGGGCCACTTTTTGGCACAAATATCCTCATCTTCACTGTTAATCAGGGTGGCCAGACCCAAATAGGCAGTCAGGATGGTGCCTGGCTCAGGCTGCTCCTCAGAACATCCCTGGAATGTAGCTGGGAGAGGGCCAGCTACCTCTGGCCAAGAACACCTTCAGACTGAATTAATGATTTGGCTCACAGTCACATTCAAGTGCGCACCAGTGACCCCTGGCACTTTCTTATTTCCTAGCCACAGGGTCCCAAAAGCCATAAAACCCAGGCTTCATCTGCCTGGAACGAGGTGGAGAGACCAGGGTCCCTCACCCTTCAAATCCAAACTGCGATCACTCCCAGGAACCTCTTACAATTCTGCTTTAATTGTTGTGAGAGCTTTCCAGAGGAAGTGCTGGCACTGATTTGGATCTAAACCTCTCTCCTCATCTCAGGGTGCTGCAGGAGTGGCGTCCGTGAGACCAACTTTTATAGCATTCCTCCGAGGGGTGAAATGTACCTACTGTAAAGCACTCTCTGTTAATTCTGGTGCATCATTTGCAGGAGAGCCACGTGGGGATCAGCGTGGGACATACAGATTTAGATCATTTAGCTGGAGTCAGGTGGTGCCTTGCTCCCAATTCCTCGCAAGTTAATTCTTACCTGGGATAATTATGTCTCTCTCCAATCTAGCCCAGCTTAACCGTTCTCATCCCACGCTCCTGCTGAGAGCACACCTGTGGTGATGGGGATGATGGTTTGGCGGGGGGTTGTGACCATTGCTGACCTCTTCTACAGATTTCTTCCATGACCCTGGGCAATTCAATTAATTAATTTAGCTTGCTTGCTCCCTGATGCTCTCTGACAGATGAAAGCTGCCTGGTGTCTAAATTACACACTCCTGAGAAACCATTTAGCTGTTTAAGACAGACCTGCCCCTTAAGATCTGGTTTCTGATGAGACTGATGAGACTGACCCCATCTCCACTGCTCAAGCCCCACTCCATCCAGAACTGGGTCTTCTGAAATCAGCTGCAACTTGATGTTGAGGCATCTCCATCTTGTCCTGAGCAAGAAATAGAAATTAAAAAAAAAAAAAAACAGGAACAGAATCTGACCTCATCCTGGAGCCCCTCTTCAAGGAGAGAACAAGGGAGTACCTGCCAAGCTGTTCCCCTTCCTGTTGAGCCCTAGTGCCACGTGATGGAACAGATGATGTGAGCTGAGCATGATCTGAAGCCAGGCAGCATGTGCAGGAATAGGGGTAATTAGGAAAAATTCTTGTGAAGGGGTTGCCAAGCCCTGACACAGGCTGCCCAGGGCACTGGTGGAGTCACAATCCATGGAGAGACTTAAAAGACATGTAGATGTGGGGACTTGGGAACACGGGTTAGTGGTGGCCTTGGCAGCGCTGGGAAATGGTGGGACTTGATGATCTTAGAGGGCTTTTCCAACCTAAAGTATTCTGGGATTCTAGGATTAGGGCTTGTACATCCTGGGCCCCATTCTTCTTCAAGCCATCCCAATAATTTTGTCAGGTCACTGATGTTCTGCCCAGCACCTTCAGGCTCCCTGGCCTCTCACGCAACTACCGTGCTCCAGGGTCTTTTTCTGTAGCCTAGACAAAAAAGAAAATGATATCTTGTATTCCAATAACCAATAAATTATTCTTGAAATGCCATAATTGCTCAGCTGCAGCTGCAACAGCGACTAAGTACAGAACTTTAATAAAATATTATCATTCAAATCAATTTGCTAAGAGTCTGCCTTGCTTTCTACATGGGGTGCTAAGCAGCAAATAGGAAATACTGATCAGTGATTAGAGAGCCAAATAGCAAGAAAAGCCTGGAACCTGATTTTTGCCATCTGTACTTTTTTTTTCCCAAGCTGTCTGAGCAAGGACAGGGGCCAGATTCTGCTCAGTGTTTGCAGAGTTGCACTTGTTTCAAAGGCATGGGAATGGCAGCTATTGCATGTATAGGTTTACAAAGTAGCTTAGGCATTTAAGAAGATAATCATCCAGAGAGATTTACAGAAGTGACTTTCACAGGGGGGAAAAGGGAAGGGAAGTGCCCAGCTCCCATCAGGGTGAAAAATAAACACAAATAAATCCAAAGCAACGATGCAATTGGCAGCTCTGGTAACAAGTTCAGAAAATGACCACATCTGGGCTATTCTGGATCAAAAACTATTGAAGTCAATGAAATTCGCTCTGGATTTACAATGGTATTAACTGAGATCAGAATCCGACCCTATAAATTTACTATTACTTCTAATCCCGGCACCTCTGATCTTGCTGAGATATTTGCTAACTGCTGAGCAGCTTGCTTTATTGACACTGAAATAACACACCCGTGCCCTACTATTGTTAAACTCAGCTGGTTTTAAAAACCCATCATACTGTTTGTCATGACTGACCTTAACAAACTGGCCTGCTGTCCTTGGATCTATGGGCAAGAAAGTTGTCAAATGCCCCCTTTTTTTGCAGCCTTCCACCACCAAAAAAAAAAAAAGGGAGAAAGAAAGAAAAAAAGAGGAGGAAAAATCAATTTCAATCAACATGGAGTGTAATATTATCAAATGTCAGATGCTGAGGCCGTGTGCTTTGAAAATTATCCTTGACAGCTTCTTGTCGACTTAATTAAGTGCTCAAAAAAAAAAAAAGAAGTAAAAAAAAAAAGCAAAATATCTCAATTGTCGGCTCCCTCTCTTTGTGCTTCAGAGGTTCTATTGACAGCTCTGAAAAAAAGATTGCCTTTGGGGGTTTTATTGATAGATCCTCGCCTGATATTGGAATGATTCCTGGGCAGATAAATCACATTTAGATTTGTTAGTAATTGAGGAGAATTGATTGAATAGTTAGGATGGTCCCAGAGGGAGGTACCTACTCCTCTTCCGTTCTGCAGAGGTTGTCATCAGATAAAGGACCTCTTTGGGCAGGATGGATAAAGGTCTAATTGTTTACATGATCAGGTATTGCTTCCTTTTAGCCCTCCCTCCCCAGACTTCCCCAACTTTCATGTGGCATGAATGTCAAGACGACAGTGGGGAAGGCCGTAAATAAAACAAAATGTGGGTGAGGGTGATCAACCCTCTTCGTGACCTGGAAAGGCGCTAATTGTTTTCAGATCATTAGTGGAATTTGGGCACTAACAGCATTTATTTAAACAGCTATGAATTTTATTTAGCAGCAGGTTAAGCGGGACTAACAGGTGGGGGGGGGGTTGTAAGCTGAGTAGCTCGTTTTGGCTGATAGGAACTCTGTGAAGGGCTGGCATATTTGGTCCTCACTGGTGAGCTCCCCCTGGGCCCTGTGTCCCATCAGTCTGGGCGAGCTGCTGGTTCTTGCAGAGTCCCAGAGAGAAGCAGCATCATAGAGGCTGTGCCAGAAAAATGTGAGTGGAATGATTGAAACGGTGAGGGGAGACGCTTTTGAGAAGGGCATGTGGTGACAGGACAAGAGGAAATGGCTTTAAACTGAAAGAGATTAAGTTTAGATTGGGAATTAGTAAAAAAAATTGGTGAGGGTGGTGAGGCCCTGGCACAGGTTGCCCAGAGAAGCTGTGGCTGCCCCATCCCTGGAAGTGTCCAAGGCCAGGTTAGACAGGGCTTGAAGCAACCTGGGATAGTGGAAGGCATTCCTGCCCATGGCAGGGGTTGGAATGAGATGGTCTTTATGATCCTTTCCAACACAAACCATTCTATGATTCTAGGCTGGAGCACTGGGGGGGGATGATGAAACCTTGGGAGAGAGTTCAGAGCAATGTTGAGTGACAGTGGAGCAATGTGAGGGGACAGATTCTGCAGAGCCCCATCCTGCCCAAGCCAGAATTTGCAGCAGACAGTTGGATGACCTGCTGAAGGCTTTCCCATGCTGATAGTCTTTCCAAGACTATCAGAAGGAGTGGGAAGGATGACTTTCCAGAGAGGGTTTTTACATGGACTAAAAAAAGCTCTGAGTAAGAGAGAGTGACATTTTCATTATCACTTCCCATCCATTTTTAAAGATTTTATTTCTTTGTGAGAGGGAAGATACATTGCAGTCTGCTTGGCACTTCAAGAGACAACTTATTTCTGTACATACCAACTATAGACCCTCCATGGACCCTCTCTCTATGTTAACTTCCTATAATTGCTCAGGCAGGATCTTGTTTTCTCTACCATCTATACAGGACAGGGTGCTCAGGTTGATCATCAACATGTACTGTGCCATGATTTTCTTCCAAGGACCTGTTTGGGAATAAAAGGAAAATGTTTGAAAATCATTTTTTAAAATCTAAACTCATTCCTGCTGGTTTCTAAAAAGGGCTAAAATGACTTAGTCAGCATTTCTTGTCCTCTTCTCTCAGCACTGGAGAGAGGGTAGAAAGTTACAATTAAAAAAAGAATCAATCAAGGAAAAATAAAGTAAATGTTTTATTTTCCCGTCATCCAGCTTCATCAAGAATGAAAGACATTGAGGGAAAGGAAAGGCCAGTTTTTTAGCTCAAAGTAAATACTGTTTTGGAACCACCAAATGTTTAATTTGTCATAATGAGTGATAAGAAGCTTGAATTCCCCCCTGCAGGCCTGATCCTCTTAAAATTTCAACCCCACTCATAGACGCAAAATGTCCACTGCTCAACCCAGTCAAGCAGGTCTTTGGCAGAGGCTGCAGGAACCAGGTTCCTCTCTAGGTCAAAGCTGTCACCTCCATCTACAGCCCTGCAACCTCCTCATTCCTCTGGGAGTGGGCTATTGAAGTGCAAATGGATCTAAACCAGCCATGAATAAATTTAGGGTGGAAATTAGAAGAAGCTTTCTAATTATCAGAGCTGTGAATATCTGAAATCATCTACTGTTAGAAACAGAGGACCTGCTAAAAAAAAAAAAAAAGCAATGGTGGTGCTGCTGGTTGGGAGCATTTTGGGAGATGCCAGGGCCTTAATTCACAGAGAGAATCTTCCTGCTTGCCAGTAGTGGAAATGGTGTGTCTTCTTTTACACATCCAGGTGCATTCAGATAGACTCTGTAGCAATAATGAATTGCAGACTCATTTAGGTTGGAAAAGCCCTTTAAAGTCATCAAGTGCAACAGTTTCCCCAGCACTGCCAAGGCCACCACTAACCCATGTCCTCAAGTGCCACATCCACACAGGGATGGGGACTCCAACACTGCCCTTGATGACATTTCCCTTGAAGACATTTTCCCTAATATCCAATCTAAACCTCCCCTGGCCCAACTTGAGGCTGTTTCCTCTCGTCCTGTCCCTTGTTCCCTAGGAGCAGAGCCCGATCCCCCCAATTGGCTCCACTCTCCTGTCAGGGAGTTGCAGAGCCAGAAGGTCCACCCTGAGCCTCCTTTTCTCCAGGATGAGCCCCTCCAGCTCCCTCAGCCACTCCTGCTGCTCCAGACCCTTCCCCAGCTCCGTTCCCTTCCCTGGACATGCTCCAGCCCCTCCATGTCTTTCTCAAAGTGAGGGGTCCAAATTCCTAATCAACACATTGGCCCCTCACAAAGTTATTTCTTCAGTGTAAAAATATAAGTTTTTATTAATAGCTTTGTGAGAATTTTAACTCTGAAAACTCTGACACACCTGTGTCTGCACAAGTCAACTACTGTTCTAGCCAAAGCAGATATCTCAACCAAAGGAAAAACCAAATCACTTTCATGTGATAGTCGCTTTGACCATGGGTTTAGGTGAAGTCTTCTTTGAAGACCTAGAAGAGAATCTGGACAAAGTCAAGGAAACAGGCTTGGACCTGAGACAGGATATGGCCTGAAGCTGTGTCAGGGGAGGTTTAGGTCAGATATTAAAATAAGGTTCTTCCCCCAGAGGGTGGGTGCTGAACAGGCTCCCCAGGGCAGTAGTCAAGGCACCAAGGCTGACAGAGCCCAAGAAGAGTTTGGATGATACTCTCAGGCTCATGGTGTGACTCTTGGGGATGGCCCTGTGCAGGGCTAAGGGTTGGACCTGATGATCCTTGTGGGTCCCTTCCAACTCAATATATTCTGTGATTCTGTTATTTGACACTGATTGGATTTCCCAGCACCAAATCCGATGTTGAAAGTATTCACCTGAATCCACATCAAAAATCAAAATTTTTCAAGCATTTTACTGTACTACCACAAAGCAAGTATTTCTTCTAAGCCAGTTCCTTTCCTCCCTTCAAGCCTTCCCCCCCACTAAAAGCTGTTGAATTGCCTCTCTTTTTTTTTTTCTTTTTTTTTTTTTAACTTTCCTTTGCTCATTCCCATAGCAAGAGTGGAATTGATTTTTGATACCATCCATTTTGTTTGTCACAGATCGTCTTCCACTTCCCCCTGCGCGTTGCTGAAATATCACCCACAAATGATTATTCCTATCACTGCAGCCAACGCTTCGCCCAGGGCAGGGAATCTTCCCGCAGCAAAAAAAAAAAAAAAAAAAAAAAAAGAAAAAAAGAAAAAAAAATAGAGAGTGGCCGCGTAATTGAAGGCAGAAACACCAGCACCTGTAGCCTGAAAATGTTAATAAACTACCAGAGGTCCCAGGAAAGTTAAATACTGGGAGGGATGTCAGAGCCGCGGCGTGATTAGTGGAACTGAACGACAAAGAGCACCTGCCTAAGGCGCCGGCACGGGGAGGATCAGTCTCCCTCTGACATCCCAACATGCCATCCGCCTCCCAGGATGGGGTTTCCACTGCAGCTTTGCTTACAGGGAGGCAATCAGAGCAGGGGAAGCGTGCTTGCATTGACACAGAGCTTGTTTTCTTGGCCACGGGTTTGGGGGCTGAAGGCTGATACACCTATGCGACAAAGGATCTTGAGCTCGGTGTCGGGGTCACACGTGTGTCGTGTTTCCAAGCCTCCTGTTCAACAAATGCATATATATTTTTCGATCATTCAGATTTTTGCATTGTGCTGAAGAGTCACGGTGCGCTTCGGAGACATGCGAATTACACTCACATACTGTATGCCCAGGCCAAAAAAAAAAAGTGAGATTATGTATGAATACATGTTCTTATGAATGAAAGATGATTACTATGTATGAAAGATGGTGTGTGAAAAAAATATTCTCATGCCTTTATGCTGATTTGCTCCTAAGAGCCAGCCACATTGCAACCTCTACAGGCAGAATTCTTCCCACAGAAACAATTCCTTATGTGCATGTGTGACTGCATGCATGTATTTTACAAGGGTATGTAGTGAACAAAACTAGGGGGAGTGGCTTCAATCTGACAGAGGGCAGGGTGAGATTGTATTTCGGGAAGGAATTCTGCCTTGTGAGCGTGGCGAGGCCCTGGCACAGGTTGCCCAGAGAAGCTGTGGCTGCCCCATCCCTGGAAGTGTCCAAGGCCAGGTTGGATGGGGCTTGGAGCAACCCGGCATAGTGGAAGATGTCCCTGTTCATTGCAGGGGTTAGAACTAGATGAGGTTTAAGGTCCCTTCCAACCCAAACCATTCTGGGATTCTATGATTTATATGTGTAGAGATGCATGGATATCATGGCTTGTATGCCAGGGGGTTAGTTTGGGGGAATTATACATATAGGCTGCACTGTACTGTGCTATGTTCATTATGTTTTATATCATATGTATTATATCAGAGGTTGGTTGACCCTTGGGCAGTGTGGTAGCTTTGCTTGAGTAAAGACTGAGAGCCACTTACACTTAATAGAGAAATATTCTCATTCCTCCAAATCCTTTCCTGTCCATTCATCATTTACGTGCTATTTCAGCCCTGACTTTTTTCTAGCTTTGCATACAGAGCATGTACTTCTGTGTGCACACATGTGCACGTGTGGCTATTTGCACACACAGTATCTCTGTAGGTGGTCTCAAATAGGTGGTCTGCTGGACCATCTGAATTTGTAGAACTATTTGCTCAAAATGGGGTTTGAAGGCCCAGGTTTTGGCTGTGCTTGCTGCAGAGATGCACGACTGTAACACTGGTGTGAGGTGTCTAGGTGAGAATGGCCAGGCAAGGATGAAGGGAGGATATATTAACTGTGATTTCTATGCAAGCTTCCCTGGCAATTAACCCCACTTTTCCCCCAGGGAAACAGGAAGGTCTTCTCCCCCTTATTTTACCACCCTTCCTTTTCTTGCTTGCTTGGTTCCCTTCTTTCCTTTATCAGAGTATCTCTAATCATTGCTTTGCATCATTATCATTATCTCTTATTATGATCTTTAGTTACGATGTCAAAGAGGAGAAAAATGAGCTCAGTTTTCTGGCATCTTAACACATATTGATTTTAACAGCAGCTGCCACGAGACCTTCACATATGATGGATTGCTGCTAGACTGATGCAAAAAATACCCACATGAATAAAAATATTTACCAAAGAGAATAATCAGCAATTGCATAACTGCATTTAAGACATTATCATATTGACCAACAGTCCAGGCAAGCTCAGGGGGTGATCTTAATACGTACTAATATCAGGATAAGCTTTAAGAGATTGCATTAGAGACCCTGTTTCAGGTACTTATGTCCATAACTAACCCTTGGCTTCTTGGGAGCTTCCTTGAGCCTGGAAAATGAAATATCCCAGTCTAAGTGCAGGGCACCTTGCTGCTGCCAGCCTTTGCTGTTTGGATGATAGAGGAGGCTGGAGACAGGTGGGGGTTGGCTGCTTCTCCCAGGTAACGAGTAATAGGACAAGTTAAGTTCAGAGAGGGGAAAGTGTAAGTTCAGTATCAGGAAAAATTTCTTCACTGATGGTCAGGCACTGGAATGGGCTGCCCAGGGCAGTGGTGGAGTCATCATTCCTGGAGGGATTTAAAAGCCATGTGGATGTGGCACCTGGGGACATGGGTTAGTGGTGGGCTTGGCAGCGCTGGGGGAACAGTAATGAATTTTAGAGGGCTTTTCCAACCCAAAAGATCCTGTGTCCAAAGCCATTAGCATCAAATCTCTGGACTCAACCCTTGCATCCAAAAAAAAAAAAAAATCCAATATCATAAAATATTTTTTTCAGGATTTCTTTCCTATTCTTTCCTATTCTTTTCTATTCTATCCTGGAGGCAACCTCAGCCAATCCTCTCTGAACTGTATCTTTCCATCTTTCAGAGGGACCTCCTGTTTCTTACAGAGTGGGGATTGGAACTATTCCTGCTTTCTTTTTCTGTTTTCATCCATCTGCACCAGCCTGGCAACCGGCAAAAACACACATATAAAGATGTCTTAATCTTAAATATAATTAGATGTAATACCTCACGCAGCGTTGTATGATTAGTAAAATATATGATCATTAGTTATTAGATTAATGTGTCTACTTGTGTAACTGAAAGCCATTTGCAGCCAGAAATGAAATAGCTCAATTTGCTGTAATTGACTTATCTCCCATAGAGATTAGTACACTTGCTGCTGGAGAAGGTTTCTCCAAATGCTGGAAGCAGCTGCGTGGAGAAGCTGGATCCTGTTTTCTTTGGAAAGCACCTACCCCGCTGGAGGCAGAGACATCCGAGGAGAGGTCTGGAGGATCAGCCGAGCCGTAATTAGGACTGCTGGAGTGAGGGCTGCTGTGTTTGGAGGGGGGCAGCACACGAGGATGCCTTTTTGGGGAACCTGCAGGACGTGGATCCGACCTGCCGTTGGGTGACCATGAGAGACGCAACAACCTTTTACTCCCCGTGGACACCAATCCTGTTTGTGCCGGTGCAAATCAAGGGCAATTTCACACACACACACACAGGGAACGAGCCTAAGAAAAGCAAGTGGCAATGTTTGGGTCCTTGCACACCCCGGCAAAAGGCTCAGCACACGAGAGCAGCTGCACAGTAGCAAACCCTGGGCAGGGTATCTGCAATGCGGGTCTCTCATCCCAGCTCCTCCCAGGGGTGCCAACAGCAGCTCGGTGGGTGAACACACTCAGAATAGGGAATTGGGAGCACATCTCTTCTGGCTACGTGGGATTCTGCCCTTAAATTATCTGTTGACACCTCTGACATTGTGAGGTGCTGAGGGGCCCCACAAATCTCAACTTTTGCTGCTGCCTCTTCTTCTCTCTTTTTTTTTTTTTTTTAAATAGGTTTTCTTATGGTTTTCTTAATTTATTTTTTTTTAGCCACAGCAACTAAGCGAACCGTTCAAATTGAAACACTGAAATGAACCAAGCTGAACAATAAACTAAAAGATGCCTAGAGCAAGTTGAGCAATAAACAGGTTTTTAATTTTTTTTCCCCCTTCCATCTCGGTGGTGTCTGTCTCTGATAGATGATGTGACAAAAGAAGAATCCTCAATAAATTCTAAATTCTGAATACTAAATCAGTGAGCGAGAGTAGGCATGTGAGATGCCATCCCAGCTCATAAGTGGCTTTACTGCTGTGATACCACAATGCTACTGCCCCATGGGGCTGCAATGGAGGTGCAGCTGGACAGAGGCATTGAATCCATCCACCTGTGATGGTTTTATCCAACCTATGCCCAGCCCAAGTCCATAACCCAGGTGTGACTGAGGCTTTTCCCACTGTATCCTGGCAGGAGTCTCAAAGGGAAAATATTATTCATAGATTTTAAGGCCGGGAGGGGATATTTTGCTCAGCTCTGACCTCCATTATAACACAGGCCAGGGAATTTCAGAGAGCGATTCCTGCAGGAGGAACAAATGGGAGGCATCAGCTCCTGTGTCATTTCATCTCATGCAAGATGTAAAAAGGCTGTGATTTCTACTAAGGGATGCCAGGGAGAAGGAGGACCTGTGAGGTAGGCGTTGAAGGAAAAGAAAGCCTTGAGCTGGAAGTGCACCGAGACCATCTATGTGAACTCAATGTTGTATGTTCTCTCTCACCTTTCAGGGGGTCTGAGCGCTGTAAAAACGTTTGCCCTTGGGAAAACTGTGTGGTTCAGGAGAAATTAAAAACAGGGGTTTTTTAAAAGCGTTGTCACCGTCTTTGCCTCAGAAGGACCTAAATGTGAAGTAATCCGACAAGGGATGTGATACAGCATAAAGGGAGATGCTGGTAGTCACACACAGCTGTGCATTAGTCTTGGGACAGGCTTGTGCTTTGGACTTCAGTTTGCAGCCTGCTTTGAAGAGAGCTGAGGTGCATTTTCCTTCTGCAGCACCTTCTGTCCTCTGGTTGTCCTGCCCGAGTCAGGACGGAGCAGCTTTTCCTTCTCGGGTGTCATGCAGCCTCTCTGGAAGGAGCCATACATTCCTGCAGAAGACACTCTCTAATCTTTGGTGCAGAGCTTCAGCATAGAGTTGTGTCTCACTCCAGCTCAGCCTGCCTGCATCTATTTATTATCCCTGTGGTTTTCCCATGGAACTTGTTGGTATCCAGAAGTTTCCACCTCCAATGAGCGAAACTCTTTGGTTTAACTGGAGAAACCCAGCAGCCTGGCTGGAGTCTCACCCTGAATTATTTTCGTTCCACTGAACTTGCAGCTCAGCTTGAAGCTGACACAGTCAAATGTACATGAGCACAACCCAGATTTGCAATTGAATCCATCAAGCTGTGCATGGCTCTGCTGAACAACCCACAGCTGAGCTGAGCTCAAACTTAATAATTCAGGCATTCAGCTTCCAACCCACACTTCATCATGGTCCTGCTCTGATCAGGCCTGGGGCTCTCCTTTAGCTCATGAAAAGTGGAGTTCTTTGAAACTCAGAGTAAGGTTTTTGTCTAAACTCAGTCTGTAGATCCAAATTAATCTTTACAATCTGTCTACACGGGTAAATCAGAATGACTTGCTTAAGCATCACTGGGGAGTCGGTGCAGAGACCTCAAGTTGGCTTGACGTGGTTTGTTGGAGGAAAATAGGTTTAGCCCAGCCTGCAAACTAATGGATGATTTATAAAACTCAGAGTGACAGGGAAGAATTTGAGCCTCTCTCCTTCAGGAATATTCCCATGGCTTGCACATATCGCCTTGGTGTGGTTAAAATGCATGAGCAGACAATGATAAACTAAATCAGGCACCACTACAAACACGACAAATAAGCCATGATGCCAAATGCACATTACCTGTAGGTACTTTTGAACTATTGCTGCCATCAGTTCTGCTGCCAGGCTGTTTTCTGAGGATAACCCAGGTATTACCAGATTTATCACCTTTTCTTCCTCATTCCGTTTCTCACGGCCAAACACATCAGCAGTTCACCAGCTCAAAGACCACTACCATTGGGGGGGTTTATTTGCACATTCATATCTCTTCTGAATAATTTTGCCATATTACTTTTTCATATTTAGGTAACAAATATTACTGCAGCTCCCTTCCCCCATTATTTGACCAGCACCATAAAGCATGATGGAAACTGGTCTGTGGAACACTGCTTGGAAGCACAAAGCAACTCAGGCGTTGGGAAAGCTGGGGTACAGCAAAGTGACCCATAAATCCTGCCTCATCTCACCTTCCTCTTTAGGTATGACTTACTCAAAAAAAAAAAAAAAAAAAAAAAAAAAAAAAAAAAAAAAAAAAAAAAAAAAACTTGGAAATATCTCTGAAAATGAAACTCCTCTGTGTACAGCCTGTGAAATGAAAGGCAGTTCTTTTGCCTTGCTGGAAGAAATGTCCTACAATAAAGTTCCCATATGCCAGTGATGTCCAGCAGCTGTGAGTGAAAACAAGGCTATTCTGGGTGCTGACAGGGAAACATCCCATCAAATTAGATAAAGCAAACAGCTAATATGAAAAGAGCAGTGTTTCCAGCCATTTTTTAAGATGGGAGCCTGAGAAAGTGGGATTGCCGTGAAAGCAGATCTGTGGCAGTACCAGGAGCTGAATCACAGAATCATTTGGGCTGGAAGGGACCTTAAATCTCATCTCATTCCAAACCCTGCCATGGGCAGGGACACCTTCCACTGGACCAGGTTGCTCCAAGACACATCTAACCTGGCCTTGGACACTTCCAGGGATGGGGCAGCCACAGCTTCTCTGGGCAACCTGTGCCAGGGCCTCACCACCCACACAGGGAAGAATTTCTTCCCAATATCCCATCTAACCCTGCCCTGTGGCAGTGGGAAGCCATTCCCCCTTGTCCTGTCCCTCCAGGCCCTTGTCCAAAGTCCTTCTCCAGCTCTCTTGAAGCCCCTTTAGGCACTGAAAGGGGCTCTAAGGTCTTTCCAGAGCCTTCCCCTCTCCAGCCGAAGTCCGGATATTCCCCCTCCTGTTCCTGCAATCTCCAGCCCAGGGATACTCAAAAGCAAAAGCCACTTCTCATTTTCCTTTGGACAAGTGGGTGGGTTCAGCAGAGCTGGGAGACTGGAAAGGAAAGGTGATGGAGATTTTACAGCCACGGAGCTGATATAGCTGGAGAAAAAGGCATTGCGAGCTCTGGTGTCACAAACTTTATTGCAAGGCTGGTGTATATAAAAGAAGAAACACAACACAGTTTTCAGACAGATAAAGCAGAGCTTTAAAACCTGGCAGTCAGTGCAGAAATAGCTGATTTTTAATTTACAGGTGGTGAAAAGAAAGACATTATTAAGTAAAAGGGCCAAAAAAAGAAAATACAATAACAGATGAACTGCATTAAACGGGCCTGCCTGGAAAAGGAGGATGGGGGTGCTCCTGGTTAGTTTTAATTTATGTTATAATAATGGCCCATCATTATCCATCAGGACAGTCTAAAGGGCTGACACCAAGCTGGAAGCAATGTGCCAGGCACAGGCTGTTCTCCACCTGCCCAAGGCTGGTGGAGAGATGTGAGGAACCACCTTAATTCATCACTGCCTCTGCCTGGTAAATACACAGGTTCTTCTGAGAAGATAAATAGTCAATAGCTATTTTCTATTCCTACTCCTTGTGCCTTTCAGGAATGTGCATATCTCTATCATACTCCCCTTCAGCTGCCTCTTTTCAAGACATCTCATATAGTGCTGGATACTTGTGATACAGAAATCTTATTCCAAATCCTAATCTGTCCATTGTTGCCTTCCACAGTATCTTTTTCAGAGACCAAGCTATCAGGTTGTCACAAAGGATGACCCATTCTCATTCACTCCTCTGGAGAAATCGCGTGGGCTTGAGACTTCTTTTGTGTTTTATGCAGGGTTATTGCACAGGATCCATTTGTTTCTGTACCACAAGGATAAACAAAGATATAATTCTTTCTTCTCTGTTAAATTTATATGCTCGTATTTACTGCTTCTGATTTGACAGGATTAGTCTCACACTTCACAAAATTTAATGCATCTCCGTTAGGTATAGAAATTCTAACTATCAATACAGGAATTAAGCTGCTTAATAAAATATCCATACCTCCAGCTGTCCATTCCCCAGTGCTAGTGGTCTTTAAGAACTCCTTTATCCAGGATGAGTTGAGGTGCCAAACCCCTTTCTCCCCACAGGACAGAACTGGGAAATCATCTGTGCCAAGCCAGAAGGGAATAGAAAATGTCATAGGGGAAGAAGTAATATTCACACAAGGCAACTCTCCATGATTGGTAAGATCAAAGACAACATCCATTCTACAGGTAGACAAACATATTTTTCTTTTTTTCAGTAGTGCCAAAGAAGGGTGAGGGTAGGAGGTGAGTCCTGAAGGACTAGAACGCAGCCAAAACCAAGCTCTTACCAGAGACACCTGAATAAGGAAATAATTATCCCTGGCTCTTCCATAGGACTTGGCACTTCCCAAGCTAAATCAGTCCCCTGCCAGACATGAACCTCTTTATCCCTTACTCTGGAAATTGTATGTTTAAAGTTACGTAGGCACTCAAAGACATTAGCAGAAAGGTGGGAACAGATTAATGTCCCTTGGAAAGGTGCTTCAGCCAAGAATAAGAGCAGGAGAAAGAGCTGAAGTTGAGAAAAATATTGACCTGAAAAGCTTCTGAATTTGTTCATCGGTGGTTTCATGTCTCTCTAACTTGCACTTGCACAGTTTTCTCCCTCTCCCTGTAGCACCAAGGGATCATTTTGCCTAACTGCTGATGACAGCCTTACTCTGTTGCTGGTTATTAATAATGACACCAATAATAACCATAATAATAACAAGAAAAAATACTAAATACACAGGATTTTCATCAGATGTGCATTCTTTGGCTGCTCCACTAATACTCTTCTTCCTTTCCTACATCCAAAACTATCACCTTGCCTCCCTTCCAAAGGTGATAAATCACATAAACATTACCCAGATCTGCCTCAGTGGTCAGTTAACTGGAAGCAGAATCTCCTTTTTTCAACTAGAATAAGCAAAGCTGCAACTGCTCATAAGAGCCATCCTAGAATGGGATCCACCTCCAATCAAGCAAGGGTTGCAGCTGAAATGTAAATGAACCAGAGAACTATCTAGGCAGGTGAAATATAATTCCTAGGCAAAGATCCTGGATGCTCCTGCATAATGCTGGTTTTTTTCTGAAATCTGAAGGGCCTTCTAGATATCTAGCATAATAAATATTCTACCTTTCTATATCAGTCATTCACATGGGTCTGGTTCAAAATCTTGTGCTTGACTTAATTTTTATTTTTACTTTAAGGAAGAAAGCCGGATATTTTTTTTCAAGTCATCAAAAAGGCAAAGATCTACTTTTGCCCCTGATGATTATTATCCATGGTTAATTATCCTCACTGAGAAAAAAAAAATATGTTTTGTTTCCAATTTGACATCTTATAACTTTAGTCTCCAGTCCTCAGTTCTTGTTACCTCCTTCCCCACTAGACCAAGGAGTCTTTCGGTACCCACTGAAGGATCCAGGAAGGAAATACACTCTCTCATCAATTCTCCTCTATATCTTTCTGATAAGCTGAATAGATCATGTACCTTCAGCTGTTCACTATGGGACAGCTTTTACCCTTCCATTACTCTAAACTCACACATTCTTTAATAACAGTGCCCTGAGGTCTTTAACCACTGTAAACAAGGTCACACAGCATAAGGACAGAGCTATGAGGGGCAAAGCATCTCATTAAAGGTGAAAAAAACACCACAGCAACAGTTTGCCCTCTGGAGTGTCAGCTCTAGCATGGTAGAGAAATCCACTGAAAGTTGCTAAATATGGAAAACAGTGAAGCAGGGGCAGAGGTTGGAGGCTGGAAGGCACCAGTCAAAGGATGCTCACTTCATCCTGAGCCTCTTCCCAGGCCCCGTGGGGCAGCACTGCTGAAAATAGAGCAACACAGACCTTTCATCAGAGGCCACACTTCCAGTCCTGGGGGCAGTTCTGGGCCCCACAGGACCAAAAAGACATTGAGGGGCTGGGGCGTGTGCAGGGAAGGGAACAGAGTTGGGGAAGGGTCTGGAGCAGCAGGAGGGGCTGAGGGAGCTGGGGGGGCTCATCCTGGAGAAAAGGAGGCTCAGGGGGGACCTTCTGGCTCTGCAACTCCCTGACAGGAGGGGGGAGCTGGGGGGGTCGGGCTCTGCTCCCAGGGAACAAGGGACAGGATGAGAGGAAACAGCTTCAAATTGCACTAGGTGGGGTTTACATTGGATACTGGAAAAATTCTGTCACAGAAAGGGTTGTCCAGGCCCTGGCAGAGGCTGCCCAGGGCAGTGTTGGAGTTCCTATCCCTGGAGGGATTTAAATGCAGTGTGGATGTGGCACTTGGGGACATGGGTTAGTGGTGGCCTTGGCAGTGCTGGGGAATGGTTGGACTCAATGGTCTTAGATGACTTCTCCAACCTAAGCAATTCTGTGATTCGTTTGACCCAGCATGGTTTCTCTTACACTTCCACATCATGTCAGTGTACTCATCACACTTAGTGTTGCACTGTTCTTGAGCTGACTTTCCCCTGCTATAACATCCATTTGCACAGTGCCACCAGCTCAAACCACCTACCCTGATTTAAGAGGTGGAGAACTCATTGTTTTCGCAGTTGGGTTCTTTAATTATTCTGAGTCCAGCTGGAGAACATCTATAAATACAGACCAGGCTCTGCTGGTGTGTTGAGAGTACAGCACAAGGTGCTAATGCTGCTAATAATTGAGTGCTAATAACTGATGTGCAAGGAGCTGATACTGCAAAAACTTTGATCCCATCCTCAAGCTAATGCCAGCAATGTTGCAAAATGCAGAGCAAAGGAACAAGGCTGTAGTTTGTGTTAAATCAGCCCAAACTGGCATCAGATGAGTTGAATTAGTACACAGAGAGCGTATGAAACATATTTATTTTGTTAATAGAAATGCCTAGTTATATTAGCCCCTTTTTTGCTTATTATTCATAATATTTTTCTGTAATACAGAAAATCAGTTTTTATTTTTAAAATGCAATCAAATTATATTTCCTATTAAAACTTTAATATCAAAACAAATTAACCAATGCTGCAGATTACACATTAGTAATGTAGTTCTGACAATAATTCATGCTCTTCTCGATTCTGTTATGAACTATCACACTGCTAAAGTGCAGCAGTTCATAATATATTCTTAAGGGGAAGTGAAATGCCTTTTATTTTTTGAAGGGAAAAAGTGAATTAGACAGGATACCTCAATGGGAAGTGGTTGGGCCAAATCTTCAGATGAAAGTATTCTCAGATGAAAACAAAGCCAGGCCTGTTCCTCCTCTAGTAACCTGCTGAGATTGACGGGCTCCTTTTTTTCCAGATGCAAAGACAATCATTTCAGGATACAAACCACAAGACCAGCAGGTTCACTGCAAGACACTGTCCAAGTCCCCCAGCAGTGTCTGCTACTCCTGAGACAGTACCTGAAGCAGCTCAAGAGTGGAAAATCTGATTAAGTGGGGCTACTAAGGAAGAAACACTTGGATGTGATTTTGTGCAGGTGGCTTGGTGAAGTAATGCTTTTCCAGGTACGAGATAGTGCACTAATGCAGAGACAGTGGCATCCTAAAAACTTTCAAGGTCACTAAGCATGATCTGTCCATCACAGGTTCATCTCCTCCACCTCTTTTGGAGGCAGCTGCTGGCTCACACCTGGCCAGACTTTCCGAAATAGTCCACCTCAGGTCCAGGCTCAGGAGGAACAGGTCAGCTCTGCTCTGGAAGACGTTAAGAAAAGCTCACCTCAGTTGTCCAGGTGAGTGCATGTCATAGAATCATAGAATCCTAGAATGGTTTGTATTGGAAGGGACCTGCAAGCTCATCCAGTTCCAACCCTGTGCCGTGGGAAGGACACCCTCCAGTAGACCAGGTTGCTCCAAGCCCCGTCTAACCCGGCCTTGAACAGGTCACCTTGATCAGTCACATCCTCAGGTACCTGAATTTGTTCCCACACCACCAAATGGGGCTCATATGGAGGAAGGAGCATCACTTAAAAAAAAAAAAAAGAAAGAAAAAATTAAAAACAACAACAACAACAAAAAAAAAAATTAAAAAAGGGAAGAGATACAGTAATTCTCAGAATAAAAATTCCAAGCCAAGCAAAGACTTGCAGTAAGGGGAAGGCACATCAAAAGCAAAACTGAGCAACCTGTTTCCTGTGGTGAAAACAGGGACGGGGAAGGTGCCTTATGATGCAGCCAAGAGGAGACCACATCGACAAGAAGGATGTTACATCCACAGGAAACAAAAAACAACATGGTTTCCAGGCTGGCAGTGAGCAACATGATCGATACATTTGTCTGCCCCACGAGTCCTGCTTTGAGCAGAAGGGTAGAAGTCAGTACCAGGGTTGGAAGGACCCAAGGGATGGAAGGGCCAAGGTCTGGAATTTGCTCAAGGACATTCTCTCTGGCCAAGATTTAGGGCTTTAGAGCCCTGATTTGCCAGCGTGCTCTGCTGACTTGTGCATCCTGAGAGCCAAGATCAGGTTCCCAGCCCCTTCTCTGCTCCAAATAGGTGGCCTGCACCTCCCAACCTGAACCATACGTGATGTTAGTTACCAGTTGATGATTGTGATGCTAATTAAAACATACTAAGAGACACACTATAAACATGCACAGCACATGAAGGAAATTAGCCAAGTGAGCTTGTCTCTCTTATTGTGCTTTTATTATGATGCTCCTCGGATGATGTTTTTAAATGAATTTTGAATAGTTTTCTTAATTTGTTTTATTTTGCTTCATGATAACAAAACTGCCGGAGCCCCACAGGAATGATTCAGAGAAGTGCAATATTATTGGAACATGTCTCCTGCTTTTCTCACTGCTTACTTATAATTAAGCTTTATTGAGGTGTAAAATGAATAACAATTTAAAAAAAACCCACGTTTATTGGTCCAGGTGCAAATTCACAGATACTCCAGAAAACTTCCTTTTCCATGACCTCAACAAAACCTTGCTGGTTTCTACCAACTCCCATCAGTTTCTACTAAGGCAGCATCCTGCTCAACCATATGTCCCAGTGGGACATCTCTTCAGAGCCACTTGTCACTACTCCTTGCACACAGGCGAGTGGAGAGAGTATTCCTGGTTTTTCTGCTTGGAAGCGAGCACACATGACAGCTGTAGCTGCTCCCCATAGCACAAAGGTCCTGGTGTCAAACCTCACTTTTTCCTGCCCTTGGTGGGAATCAAGACTCTGCTGTGAAAAGCAAAGTGGGAAGCAATACCTTATCTATTGCTGTATTTGCTCCTTTAGTGGACTGTCCTGATGCAGGCAACTACTGCAGACATAATTGTGACTGGAATGCAAGATTTAATTAGTAGGAAAAAGTGGGGGAAATGTAGGAAAAGTGAGTAGGCTTCCCAAAGAGACAAAGTTCTCATAGACCCCAGTTTATCCCCGTTTTAGACGTTCGTGGAACCAGTTGTGATCATACACTCAACACTACCTTCAGCTCACCACTGGTCCAGGCTTTGACTTCCCATTCCTGGCCTTTGATGGTCTTTTGATTGGGGAATATTTTGCTGCACCATTCAGAGAGATGGCTGGCTCTGTTTTGGGGGGTTTTGGGAGGGTTTCACTTTTTTTAGGGAATGTTTTCTTGGCAGGTACAGAAAGCACATCTGCATGTTCAAATGGGTTTCCCAACCTGTAGCATAGTTCAAAGCCAAATCCCAGAGTGGTCAGCAGTCCTTCTGCTCAATCTGGGATTTTAGCACTTACAGCATCCATTTTAGCACCGTGCTGCTCCCCCAGAATGCAGCACTAATGGATTACTGTGCATTACGTCCCTCATTACTGCTTAAATATTTATCAGAACATTATGTATTTAGTGGCTGGGGGAAAGAGGCAATCCTGCCTTTTGCCATACAAAAGGGTTAATTACAGACTGGATAAGTCTCCATGACTTAAAAATTGATAAAACAGATAGAGAGATTAACAGGAGAATGTGTTATTTACAGCTAAATAAACATTCAGCTGCATAATCCTGAGCTGGGATTTCCCCATAGGAAAAACAACTAAAGTCAGTATTTTGTATCAATGGTCTACATTTGTACAGCAGGGGAAAAAAAAAAACAGAGAAGGCTGGTTTCTACTGTCTGAAAACAAACAAGTTGCTCATCTGAGGCAGCTTCCTACCCCGGGGCTGGTGTTCTTGGAAATATTTGGAGGAGTTTGTTAAGAGCAGATTTGCTCTGGCCTCAACCTGACAGTATGGAAGCAATTGCATCTCCATCTTTCCCTGCTATTCATGTGCCTCTCTCCATCTTTTTCAACACTGAGTCTTGAATTTTTAAATCTATTTTCAGTCTACACTTCCCTTAAAACCATGCTCACAAGTTGTTTCCATGGGTGCCTATCATACCCGTACCATCTATCACTGCTGGAGGCAAACACGGGTGCTAGAAGAAAAAAGTCAGAAACCAACGTTTAACATGAAACAAAGCAACCCCTGTTTGCACTTCAGCAGGAATTCTTTCCCTGATGATAATCCCACCACCACCACTTCCATTGCTGCACTGGTCCAAGTGTTACACACATGTAACACACACATCACTTGTAAAGATGGGCTTATTTACAATTAAAAACCTTACTTAAGTTTGGGTTCTTCAGCAGACAAAAGACACCAGAAAACCTAGTTGTTCGTGGAATTCAGCCAATGTTTGTCTCATAAAATAAGTTCTTAAGGTAACTTATACTGGCACTGTGAAATATTGTTCATTATAACGGAGCAGCTGAGATAATGTTGTTTTCTAATTTCCCTTTCTCAGTCAGAAATTAAATAAAAAGTCATGTCTAAATTACAATACTGGATTGAACGCAGACAAGGACCCCATGCGGGGAGCTTATGATATATCCTTCCCACGTTTTATAGCCATTAAAAAAGATTATAGGATTTTTTTTCCTTTTCTTTTAGGCCATTTACATTTGTTCTGAACTCTCACTGTGTTTTATTTGAAGCTCTTAAAAGTGCCAATGTACATAATAAGTCAATCAAGAAGTTAAATTAAGAAAAAAAACAAAAACATATTGACTTGTCTATACCAAACATGCACTTGGAAATCTGAACTCCACCACCTAATGACTTTCTGACTTTGCAATAAATATCACTGAGCAGGGGTGGCTGAGTTGTTCTGCACAAGGAAGTGCATTTATAATCTGATTAAGAGGTCTTCTATCTTAGCACAACCCCAATAATGGGGTGCTGTGTGCTCTTCCCCACCAAAGCATCCATTAACATCTGCAGAAATGCTCTGTGGGGGTTGGACTGCTTCTAACAAAGCTTTCCAGCCTCAAAAAAGCTTTCCTTGTCGCTACTGATTTCTGTAATGCCTGGTTTGCCCACGCCCGTGGGGGGTCACAGAGCAAATCCCACAGGGCCAAGTGCCCCTCCGTGCCACTAACCCCTCTGCTGCCCTTCATCTGCTGCCTCCCTGATTCCCCCAGACCCCAGAATCCTCCTGCACAGGGCTTGACCATAGCAGTTTGGTCTGCACAGCTTTCCAGCTGCCTTCCCAGCTGCCTGATACCCACCCACCACCCTATGCCCAGCTTTTCCCTACCTCATGGCTCTCCTCCTTGCTCTGGCTGCCATCTCCTCCTGGGACAACACACCGCTCCTTTCCTCACAGGGGTATCGAGTCATTCAAGGTCATCTTCCTCTGCTGTTGTTATTCTGAGCCTGCAAAAGATTTTTGACGAGGTAGAAATTGATTCTTCCTTTTCAACCCTGCAGATTTCCTCTTTCTCCACAGATTTTCAAAGCCAAACCTCTTCCCCCCTTCTCAGTTCCAAGAGCATTTCATGGATCCTTCTTCACTTTGGCAGCTCGTCTCAGAGCTGGTGGCATCAAAGGACCTTGAGGCAGGTTTCTCACGAGGCTTCATTAGCTGAAGGTGGGATTTATCTCACTTTCACACCAGAACAACATCTCAGGCCAGACCAGTCAGCTGGGCTCTCTTCCAGTCAATAAAGAGAAAAAGGCAACTCCAGAGGCAGATTTACCCAATCAAATTGGGTTGACTCTTCTTAAAAATGAGTCACCTTTCTTCTGAAAGCACCTCTTTCTTTCCACTGATTAGGAAGGCATCCCAGGCTACCAGGTTGGACTTGACTCTTTAGCTTCAGGAAGGTGGGCACCTGGCCTTGTTTTTCCATGAAGATGCTTTGCTGTTGGAAGTGTGATTTCTTGGACAGACCTCACAGCTGCACAAAGCTCTCCTCACATGCTGCATCAGCAAGGTCAAGCCACTGGGAAAATTCTTGTTCATGTTATTATGTTGGTCCCTTACCGACAGCTCACATCAGAAACCTGATGCTTTCACTGGAGTTTGGCACCATTTGCTTCCTACTGCTTGTCTATCCTTGTGA